TGAGTTTCATCAGTGAACAGGGTAAGTATGCTTTGTAATAAAAATGCTACCGTGCATTTAACCATGTTAACAGCCCTCCTTAATCCTAATCAAAGGGAAATAAATGACGAAAATATAAGCGCTGCTTCAACTTTTGTATCTGGAGCTAAACTGCTCGACTGTCATTCATGGGTAGCTTCCTGCTGGAACAAATATTGGGATAAATCACTGTTTACATCATCATAGCTAATTCAGAAGTAAATAAAAAGATGGACATAGCCGAGGTCACAGCCTGTCCAGTCTTCAGTTTTCCCACTTGGGCAACGTGGACACCAAAATGGCCTCTAGGACTGTGGATTAAGCACGTGGAATGTACGTGGTACTTAATGAACAGACAATACATATTAGGTGCTATTATTTTTTATTATCTCATTACTGTTTTCAGTACTCATATCATGATTCATGTATATAACAAACTATATAGAAACTATAGTCTTCTGTTCAAACGGAATGAAAATCTTCAAATAAATCAAACAATGCTGCACTCATTTGACTACTGATGTTAGACTATTCCCAAAATTAGCTAAAGTATCCTTGAAAGGGAGGGGAGACAGGATCGAGCGATGTATTCCTAGGAAATGGCACACTCCAAAGCATGCATTCTAGGGAGCTGAGTCAACTACATGCGCATGTATATATTACATAAATACATAATATTGCTATAAAAAAGTGTATACCAATTACCAACTCATTTGCAAAGCATTTACAGGATAAAGGTTTACAATTCAGGCTACTTTAACTGAATTATTCTTCCAAGCAACTACCACCAGAGAGATTATTTTGCTTACTGCTCAAGCACAAATACTGATTATAACTTGACCTTCTCCAAACTTCTTCCTTCATGAAAGCCAGACACCTAAGGGCCTTTAAGACCTAGGCCCAAAGACTTGTCTAGATCAGAGTGAGCTAAAATAAAGGTGTTCTCAAGAGTGTGAAGATACAAGGGTCAGCAAACAGGCCAAATCCACCCTGCTGCTTGCTTTTGTAAAGCAAGTGTCCCTACAACACCTCATGCCCACTCCCTTTCAAAGTGTCTAAGACTGCTTCTGCATTATGGCAGGGTTGAGCAGTTGCTAAAGGGACCATTTAGCCCAGGAAGCCCAAAGTAGTTACTACTTGGTCCTTGACTAGAGAAGTTTGCCAATGTTTTAGAGGAGCCTAGGAATCAAATGTCATGTTTATAAGGGAATTTCAACGAATCTGGAAATACCAACGTAGAGCAAGGATAAACCATACAAGAGAGCTCCCCCTCCTGCCCATCTCCAAATACAGTCAATTCAGAGTAGCCTCTCCAAATTATTTTGTTTGCTGATATAGGAGTAAGGCATGGAAAGAAAATTTTAAAACGCATACATTACAATAAAGACACTTTCTTCTAAAAGAAGAAATACTACTTTCAAGACTCAGGAACCCAGCTTGCTTTATAAAATAAACACAAAAACACACACTTACATTTCTTAAAAGGTCACCTTACATTATTTTTTTTAAGGTTGAGTAGTTTATGGATTTTTTTTCCCTACCTACTGTATTTGGGAGTTATGATCTCCAATTGATACATGTAAGAAAATTTAAAAATGCAGTTTAAATCGTAAGTGACATAATAGTTTTGAAAAAGCAACTGATGGGGCGCCTGGGTGGCGCAGTCGGTTAAGCGTCCGACTTCAGCCAGGTCACTATCTCGCGCTCTGTGAGTTCGAGCCCCGCGTCGGGCTCTGGGCTGGTGGCTCGGAGCCTGGAGCCTGCTTCCGATTCTGTGTCTCCCTCTCTCTCTGCCCCTCCCCCGTTCATGCTCTGTCTCTCTCTGTCCCAAAAATAAATAAACGTTTGAAAAAAAAAAATTAAAAAAAAAAAAGATTAATCTTTAAAAGAAAAAGCAACTGATTAAAAAAGATCCAACCCTCCCCACCCCCCAAAAAAGATCCAAACCAATAGGATAAGAAGGAAGAGTATTATGTTTCAGCTACCTATTCTGCGTTACACATAATCAAAAATAATCTGGTACTAAGGAATACCTAAAGAGCAATTAATTTTCCAGAGTTCCTTTCTATTTTATTAATTAAAATATGCACCTTGATGACCTGTTTACAATATAATGTGACCGCTTAGAAATGGGATTTTTAAAATCACTTTGCACAGCAACTTTTTCAAATTCCAAAAGTTAATATAAATAGAAATATCATCCACAAACACCAAAAAAATTGCAAAGAAATCATCAAAACACAAGACAGAAAGAACACGATTATATCTTTATAGTTTGTCACCAAAACCAAATAATATAAAAGGACCAATACAGGAGGCCAATGAGAACTCATCGACTTTGATATCTCAGCTTCCAACCACTCACCACGTTAAGCAAATGGAAACGTTTTCCCAGTACCTAGTGGTCTTTGGATGTAAGATACTTCTATATAGAGATCTGAAATATTTAAATAATACTTCAGAACACTACCTGAAAACCAAAATAGATAATATTTCCAGAACTAATTTTTTAGACTAGTTTATTAATGTACGAATCTGCTTTAAAAAGTTGCAATGCTTCAAAAACAACTGTTATAAAGTCTGACTATTTTAACTAAAATAGCAAGACCATTAAAAATTATAAACATTTAGAGAAATCATATCACCATGTTTTCTAACTCATCATTTTATGAATAACAAATCTATATCACAGAGTAACAACAAATTCAAGAACTACAAGGAAATTTTAATCGTTTTATAATTATATGAAAACAATTTTAGAAAAAAAATTTTAATTGAGACAGTTAAATATATAGTCTTCACACTTCTCTGTTACGGATTATTTGATATTTAAATTACATCAACATAGAAATGCTTTAAATAATAACATATTTTATTGTTTCCCAGGCCTAGCTGTCAGCACTAAACTTGAGCTCCATAGATACCTGTATAGAGATGCTTCAGGGATTCAAGGTTCATCCTTGAGTGCATTCTGTTGGAAATGGATTACTATCTAGTAACACCAGACTTCATGGTAGAACTTAAACACTGGCTTTCACTAATAGTGCCTCTGTATTTTCTAAGTTCAAATGTATTCAAAAGGCCCTTTTGTGTATACTGTTTCAACAACAAAACACATAAAATAGGAATCCAATAAATTCAACAAAATTCTATAGTTTTGATCAACAATATAAAAAATATTCCTGTCCACATCTTAAGCATTTAACATGTTACAAATAAGCAGACAGAAATGATAAGACACAAAAGGATGATAAAACTGAATCCCAATTTCCTATAAAATAACTTCGGCTAAAAACTTTTTTTTTTCTGTCAAACAATATGTTATTCTTGGGAACAGACTATGAACCAACACGGTAAGCACTTGAAAAATGATTCCAATGTGATTTAAATTTTAACTACTTATAAAGACAAGCATAAATAAGACAAAGGATGGTGTTCCCCAAATTGACGCAGAAAATTCAAATGGCTTGCTCAAATACATGGAATTAACTATAGGACAAAATAAACCTGAACACGTTCCAGTTCACTCCAGCCTGCCCGCCTGAGGTCTCTCATAACCCGATTACAACCACAGCCAGACAGAAGACTCCCCTTCACTGAGGATTTGCAGCAGCGTATCCGTTTTCTAGTCGTCACCCAATCGAGTGCCACTTGCCAGAGGACAGATACACACTGGCCAAGGCAAGGGGAGAAAAAGCGAAGAGCAAGCAGGGGGACGGAGAGAGGGGCAGAGAAGGGGGGGAAAGAGGAAAAAACACTCCGGCAGACGTTCACAGGGCCTTCTCCGCTTCCTTCATGCACTGTCCCGAGGCTGAAACTCTTTTAGAAAAAAGCCTTCAGCCCTGACTCAGACTCCCAAGTTTCTCACCTCCGTGATCATGGCCAGGGTCTAGAGATGAGTGGGGAAGGCCCACTCCCGACAAGCAGAGTTAGAACTCTGGCTTTGTACTAAAACTTTGCAAGAGAAGGTGACCTTGTTCTAAGCTAGTGTTCTAAGCTCTTTAAGGCTTTCTTGGAAAAGATGACTAGTTGGAAGATATGCCATCACGTTTTACACAATTTCGCAGAGTTCGTGTACTTCAGCATAAGACACCCTTGTCCCGTAGCGCTATCATTGCTGAATTTTAGGAACACTACACACTGAGAAGACTCCCCTGCCAGGCGAAGGACCCAAGTCTGCACTCTCTAAGGGAAAGTCCGAATTCAAAACAATGTTTTACAAAGCAATGGCTTCAACACAACCTTATCACAAAATAGATCAATATATTTCTATGATAATTAACTCTAGTTATATTACAAGGTAATTGAGTGTTTTTAAGATAGTCCTTCGGGGGCACCTGGGTGGCTCAGTCGGCTAAGTGTCCAACTTCGGCTCAGGTCATGATCTCACGGTTCGTGGGTTTAAGCCCTGTGTTGGGCTCTGTGCTGACAGCTCGGAGCCTGGAGCCCGCTTCGGATTCTGTGTCTCCCTCTCTCTCTGCCCCTCCCCTGCTTGTGCTCTGTCTCTCTCTGTCTCTCAAAAATCAATAAATGTAAAAAAAAAAAAAAAAAAAAGTCTTTTGTATGCTAACAGGTATCACCCTATGTTAAAGAGGGCAGAACTATTAAATTACCGCTCCAAAGGTATAAAACCAGTTTCAGAACAGTATTTTCTAACGCCAGAAAAGGTGCTTGTATGATTTTTAATGAATGGAACGTAACCCTACCGCCATTACTATCACTGTATCCGTCAGTGACGGATGCAGTGATACTAATGATTACAAAAGTTACTTTGCGTTTATTTATAATTTACAGTTACACAGAACAAAAATGATAGCGTGATTCCTCTAACTTAATTTTTTCAGTCATTTTATACCACACTGCATTTCTGCTGCATTCAGCGGAGCAATTCAGGATTGATGAACAGCACTGAGGAACAGACATGTCATATTTAGCTGCTTATCAACTGCTTTCAAATCAAAACTATAGATGTGAATACTTACTTGTCAAAGCTGTCACTATTTTTGATGAAGCTCTCCAGTTTTTCCTTGGCATATTCCACCACATCTGAATGAAGCTCAATCCCGTGATTTATTCCAAAAGGACCTGCAATTGTAGCAGCAGCAGCATTTTTATAAAATATATATATTTATAAATACACACACATATACGTATAGTAATATGTCTTTACAGAGTTCTTTTAACTTCTGGTCACTTTTCTACCACAGGGGCATTTAAAAGGCTTGAATATGTGAATGTCTGCTAGCTAGATTTAAAAAGCTGAATCGAAAATCTCACTGTTTCCATGGCTTTGAAAGAAAGAAAAGAAAAAAGAAAAAGAAAGGAAGAAAGAAAAAAGAAAGAAGAAGGAAGGAAGGAAGGAAGGAAGGAAGGAAGGAAGGAAGGAAGGAAGGAAAGAAAAACAAAGACTAAGTTATAGAGAGTTCTCTCGAGAGCAGCCCATCTGTCAGGACAATATTGACTAAGCAATAATCATATTCTTATCTAAAGTTTTGAGTTCTTCACCATTACATTTTCATTTATCACTTGTTAAAAACTGGGTAATTCTAAAGTGCCTGACACCATGGGCTAACATGGCTATTCTATAAATGTCTCACACATCCCACTATATGCTAAGTTCCTACACTCTATGCCTTCCGGAGCTCCCCACGTCTAGCAGAATGTGGCCACCAGACGGCAGGACTGCACAGCCGATTATTTACTCTTCTGTTCCGGTGTCTCACACTTCACTTAGCATTTCTTTCTACCCACAGCCAAGGAGGAGTGACATTCTAGGAATGAAGAAAAGGAGAGCTTTCTGAGCCCCAGGAGATGGTACTGGGAGGGAGACCTGGGACAGTCACAAAATACCGGCAACCGAATTCACATCTCCCAGAGCTACTGGGCGCATTACCGCCTGCCCCATGACACACAGGACAGTAACACAATCTCACCTGGGTAGGCTACGTGCTTTTGAACTTCCAAAACTGAGCCAGAGTTTTCTACTCTATACTTATATTTTTATTTTGAAATTGGTCTTCTAGGAAAAAAAGACGTGTATGTATCTTCCCTATCTTATACATACTTCTTTTTGTATCTTGTATCTTAGGAACTAATTAACTGGATATACCCCCTACTGAATGTCATTAGAATACAATACATAGTGGAGTTCTACTGACCTCTAAGATCTTTTAAACAAAAAATATCAGTCACCAATTATCATGTTTGAATGTTCAGAGGGCACCTGAAAAAAAAAATGATGTATGATCTACAAACTACCTAAACTAGAAAAATTAAACCAAAATGTTTGGATACTATCTTCAAGCCAAAATCAGATAATGCTTTAACCTACTGCATTTCTAACATATTCCATTTAATATGATTAAAAAAAACGGTTATACTTGAAAAATGTATTCAGATACGGGTAAAAAGGTACATGATCCATCAAAACGCAACAGGTAGAATTAACTACCTTTGCAGTGTTTTCATACTTTTAAAGTAAGTTATGCTGATTGATGCAATCTTAAATGTTCTGTTTTGGTCTCCTTACAGTCAAACAGTTGGGTCGTCTGAAAACTGGAACATCCTATCTGGTATCATTTTAGACCTCTTGTAATTCCTGATTATTACCATAAACAAAAATAACCTGTCTTCAAAAATGAAAGTGGCAAATAAATAAATAAATAAATAAACTCAGAGAACACATGGGGACATCTCTTTTTTATACTGAATCTGAATACTTTAATAACTTGAATTTCCATAAGGAAACAAAGAATGCTAGGAAACACTGAACAAAGTTTTCCTCACTAAAAAAACTCAACTCATAATTACTTAACATTATGCACATATTGAGGAAAATACTGTTCTAGGAGATAAATTCCTAGGTGATCCATTTAATGTAAAACAAAGACTTCCATATTTTCATTATTCATTAAGAATCTAGCTATAGTAATCAACTATTCTTATGAGACCAGACCTGGGCTACATGGATAAGAAATCAATGAAAAACATCCATATTGCTAGAATCTGAAGTTTCCTTTAAGACCAAATGCATAAGCTACATAATAAAGGTGTCATGTAAAGAATCTGGAAATCAAGGCTTGTATTCAGTATTTCACACTGCTTTCTTAAGAGAGGGAGTCTGACCTTGAGTTCTATTTCAAAGGGACTACACAGGTGGTTCATCACTTAGAAGTCTCTTTTTTCTTTCCTTGCTTTCTGCTTATTGTCTAAAACCAAAGTGGCAACTTTTGGAAATAAGGTTCAAGTTCATTTAGAAAATTTCTTAAGGATGTTTTTCACATAACTTGTTTTTCACATTACCTGGGTATAAAAACAATTTCATTAATATATAAAGGGTTTGACCATACCGTAAACAGACGTGCAGAATATATTATGTATTCACTTCTAGTGCAAATACACCATTTATGATTTTTTAATGAACGAAATATAAGTAACATGGAAACATATCCTTATCACTATTAAGCTGTATAATTAACATATTAAAAATAGTAGATTTAAGAGAATTCATTAATAAAAGACAGAACTTAAATAGCAATGTTGCCAATATCTCATTTATTTAGAATGTAAAATACAACTGGAACATTTTAAATATAGGATAAAAATGTAGTGTGATGCTGTTTATTACAACTCATATTTGACACAGGCATTAAATAGAGCAGAAAATAAAACCTAGAAAACTAAGAACACAAACACAGCTACTTCCAAGGAAAGGGCCTCAGAGACCTAGGGTGGGAAGGAGACATTTCTGTCATTACACCCTTTTGTCTAAAGTGTCCAGACTATACCCATACATATAACTTTTTATCAGAAAATAATGGGCTAGTCAAAGAAATCACCAAAAAATAGTCTTCAGATTTTCAAATTAATAAAAGAATTCTAACAGAAAGGTACAACGGAAAAAATGAAACAGTATCCAAAAGAAGTGTCAACACTTTCTAGCACCATCTAAGAGATAAAGTATAAATGTAACTTTGTATTCAGTAGTTACCAATTCTATTCTGTATTTGCCAATGTGAAGAGGTTTTTCTGTAAATGCTAACGGTTTCATTTTTTGTATTACATATTAAAAAAATAAAAGTACTAACAGTTGACCATTATCTCTAATAGCTAAACATTAAAGAAAAAATAGAAATATACACAGAAATCAAAGTTTAATGAAGACAAATAGCGATTAGGAAAACCTAGGGGCTCCTGGGTGGCTCAGTCGGTTGAGTGGCCGACTTGGGCTCAGGTCATGATCTCATGGTTTGTGAGTTCGAGCCCTGCATCGGGCTCTGTGCTGACAGCTCTGAGCCTGGAGCCTGCTTCGGAGTCTGTGTCTCCCTCTCTCTCTGCTCCTCTCCCGCTCACACTCTTTCTCTCCCTCAAAAATAAATGAACATTTTAAAAAAATTAAAAAAAAAAAAAAAATTAAACTGTAAATGCTTGGTTCCCACCCCAGGCAGACCAAGGGAATCTCTCAGGGTGTGGCCTAGGCCCTACAGATAACCTTAAACACAGTCCAGGCTGAGCACACTAGCCACATCCTCCCGATTTTTAAAATCTCTTTGGACTATCCAAATCTCTATTCTCATTGGTAAAGTGTTACCAATAAAAGCATGTTGGATAAAACTAAGTATTTACCACAAGGGGGAGCAGGTGAATCAGTTATTTGAGTTCTATGAAACTAGTATAAAGTTTCTCAATAACAACTGAAATATATAATGTAAAAACATTTTTTAATAAGTTCCAATGATATTTTATTACTAATTTTAGTTGCATAAAATAAAGCATCGGGGGAAGATTTATAAGCAACTTTGTAAGAATTCAGAGACACTAACAGGTAAGAGAATAGGTTTCGTTCTCTCTGTAAACATCTTGGGGTATAACAAAGAGACACAAATAGTGCAAAGGTACCTAAAGGAAAGGGAAGTAAAAGCAATCCGCAAAAGATTAAGTAATCATTAACTAGATAAAAAGAAATTGATCTCATATATTGCCACTTAAGATAACAATTTCTTATGGTTTTCCGTACATTTTTGTACAAAAAGAGCACGTTAAAGAAAAACAGGGTCAAATGTTTACTGAGTCCTGCCACGTTCACATAACCATTCTGAAGCTAGCTGGATCTGCCTAACACTAGACTAGACTTGGTTCTCCGCTCTGTAGGTTTAGGAAAGGCTTCATGAAGCAAATCTTGAAAATTTTCCACAAAGTTCCAGCTCCAGTCCCTCGAGCTCCTCTCAGCTGACGGCGGATTTCTAAGTGCTATTTTTCTTTATTACACTTGAATTTTAGATGTATGTTTACACAAAATCTGAACATGTTGGCTTAAACAGTTACAGAAAATAGATCCGAGCCCTTAAGTAAACTACATGTCCAAAACCAGACGTCACAATCAGATCATTTACATGTTTCCACCCAGCAGGCTAAGAATACACTCAAGTCTAGTATGTTCACAGCAACTTATGACTATCCCACACATCTACGGTGGAACATTAAAACAGAGATTAGGTTTCTACCAGAGTAAATTCAATCAACGGAGAATAAAACGTGCTCACCTACAAAAAACAGTTTTAAAAGTTAATTTAAACAGCTTTACACTTGATCTAAATTCTTTTTAATGCAATCATTTCCCCTGGAAGCGATTTTCAGCAGCTCTTTCACTGCACTGCATATTTGTGAAATACCTGAAGATACACTGGGGCCAGCATGGTGACCAATTCACATAACAAACAGTGAACTAAATGAAGAATGGGCTGGTGAAACTGACAACAATGCTTCTATTGCTAGTTCAGAAGTGAGAAGCACAACTTCAAGTGTACAGGATGGGTCTCGTTTTCTGCTGGATCCTCAGCAGCCACCACAGTGTTGAATATAACAAACACCTTTGAAGGAATAAAAAAGTACAAAAATGTACCTACGCTCCCAAACTTAAAAGGTTCACAACTCGGACTGAAGCAAATGATGTACACAAAACCTAAAATGCGTATTTTTCATGTCTAAATTTAAATATCACGTATACTGGCAAAAGTCATTAAGTATATGGCAAATCTATTTTATCTGTTACCACCACAGAACGAGGCACTGCAAGGAAGACTGAG